AACATGAACTTTGAAGACAACACGTTGCACATCTTTGCTTAAAACCTTGGCATTAACCCTATTTATCTGTTAGCAAAATATCTAATGAACCACTGGACAGATTTTAGTGAAACTCTCATAAGAATTGCTGGATGTGCATTTACAATTTAAAAACTTTTGAAGTCGGTTCAGTTCAGTTAGGCTGCTTCAATCAACAAATTAGCAAATACAAAATGGCTATAATTCATAAAAAAAAGAAGCTTTAATTAATCAGATAAACATAAAATAATCCTAATCTAAAACTTGACCATCAAAGGTGGCAGGTGATTAATCAATGCTAGGCCTTACATTATTTATAATAAAATTAACAGTTATTTCTCACAGTTTAAACAGCTGCAGTTTTTCCCAAGTTTTATTAATATTTCAGTTAATTGTCAAAACAGCTGCCAGTCTTTGTTCTGTTAGTCAATAACTACTAAAGTAATTTAATCTTGATAGTCTTTATGAACTGTTGTGTCGCACTTAATCTGCAAACTTATTGTAGCACAACAATTCTGTATGTTAAGATGCTAAAGTTACAAAAACCAAATCTAGAAAACTGCAAATCATTGCATTTCTGGGAAAAACAAAGGTTTGTTTCACAGCATGAAATAATTTAATAAAAAAATAGCTGCAGATTAGCTTTCTGTTTACAAAAACAACTACTAATAAATAGGCTCAGACATGAAATGTGTTGAATTAACAGGACCGTGTGGTTTTGATATGTTAATAAGCAGTGCGGTCTCCACAGACTGAACACTGACAAACTGATTGTCTCGACACGAGAGTGAGCTCATTACTTCAGAACGCGTCGTGTTTTTTTCTCCGCAGGGACTTTATTATGTTTAATGTCAACGTGCATAATGAACAAAGATATACACCTAGAGAGTAGGAGCAGCTTGTGCTTTAGGTTAGCAGAGGGTTGCTGTAGAAAGATGCACATCTTGTTTTCACTCGGCTCTAGCATGTTTTTGAATACCTCTTGTAGTTTTTTTCATGCATAGCTTTTGCTGCTGCTGTCTGACTCTGAAAGGCGAAAGGGGGACACAAAGGGTTAAGCTTGTTTGCCTGTCTTCCTTGGAGATGGGAGAGGCCAGTTGAATGGCTAGCTTTAACAGCTAGTCAACACATTGGCTAAGGCTGAGGGTGGATCTGCTGCTGCTGGGCCTAAGCTGCGGCACGGAGCGCAGCTCAAGGATCTGGAGTCAGAGACGGCAGCAAGCACAGCTTTTACACACGTATGCACGCACGCATACACTGTGTGTATGATATGTGTGTTTAAATATATACATACGGTTTAAATTTACACATATGTACATATAGTTGGGTGTATATGTATTTATAAGTATATTTTTATGTTTATGTAGGTGCATATATATTTTTTGGTGAGCGTAAGTGCATGAATCTTTTATTTGTGTTACCATGCATGTGGGGATAAATTGAACGTAGCCGTTTCAAATTAAATTTAAATGTCAAAGACAATACATGAGGCAACTTTCTCTGGACTTGAAATCACGATGTAAATTATTTTTTGGGGGAAGATTATTGACGTAGACGAAAGTTGGTTACATCGTTTGTTTGTTTTCAGCACTGAGCCACACCGCGGTCCTTTAGCTCCTCTGCCATGTTGCCATTCTCTTATTTCTTCTGCCCTCTCTTAACGCATTTTCCTCCCGCACTTCATGCCCACCTCTGTTAATGTGCGAGGACGGTTCAGGTTCAGGTTCAGGTTGTTTTGTTCGTTTGATGGTTGATTTAATTACACTAATGCAGCCAGGCGTGCTCTGAACACAAGCAGCATAGTGTCTGAATAACACAGGAAATTATTACAAAAAACTTTTAACAAGTTACTCACATGATTGCCTCTAAGTGCACGTTTTTCTCTCCCACCACACGTTTAGTTTTGTGGTCTGACCTGTTACCTGTCCCCAACCTCATTGACTCATTATCCCCCTGCTGCCTCAGAGCAGATTTAATCTGGCTGTGGCGAGTGGGAGCTTAAACTCAATGTTCAAGTTAGTCTGTGAAGCCTCCATCTTTCTTGGCACAGTCTGTACTCACTTACATTCAGACATGCTTTAAAACGTGGTACTGGTGACCAGTAGAGTAATCTTATGCAAGAGGATGATTTCCAGCCATGTAGACACACTCATAATAACAGCCCAAAAATATTACACTTAATTTTATATCTGTTTTGTTTTTTTTAAGTTTGTGTACTTTCTATCAATCAGTGTTGACATGTTTCTAGAAAGAGGCACATCGTTAAATTTTATTTATCTACTTCAGATGATTCTTTCATACCATGAATGCTGCAACCAAGAGCGTGGAATTGGTTGAGATTTTATCAACATTGTTTACATTTGTTTAGACTTGTAAACAAAATGTTGCCCAGCGTTAAGCTACATTACTGCTTGAAGCTGAATTTTGTTTCAAATCATATTTTATCTCTGAATGATAAAGGCAAAACATTGTGTTATTAATAAACAACATGAAGAGATCTTAGGACTGTAGATTTTTAAAAAAATTAAAAACAAATTACTCTCCAACTATTTTAACTATACCCAATTTTCCTTTGATTTAGTAATGACTACAAGTGTGGAAATCTTTATTCACACCGCATTTGGATTATATTCATAGGCTGAGAGTATATAACAATTAATGATGCTTTTTGATTATCTTGAAAACTAAATGACTTAGCTTTATTTTACATCAATAAACACTGATTTATACACATTTCACACGTCATAAAGAGTAGACGTTAACATATAACAAAGAGCATATTACTCACAGGCTGCTGACCTTCAAGTAGCGTAGATGCTAACTTATTATTCAAAAGGCCATATAAAAGCTTATCAAGTTTATCACAGAAAATTTCTACATAAATCACTTTAAAGCCGATACTTAAGACAGTCGCGTGAAAACAAACTTATTTACAGACTCATATTCCAAAGAGTTCAGCAAATAAATATTATAAAGATGTGAAAACACAGAGCTTTACTGCAACATGTTTCTACTTCAGGAAGCTACGGTAACTCTACTGGGACAAATGCACAAACTACTCTGCTGATGTTCTTAAAGAAGCATCACAGATTAACATTAATAAAACTGATTCCTGACATTTTGAAATTGATTCATATTCTTCCATATTCACAATGCGATGCAGATAAATATAGATTTTCCTCTTACTCCTAGTGACAACAACACATCCACTTGTACGTCTTGTCCAGTGTTTAATTTGAGCCGGATCCTCCTGCTGGAACAAGATCCGGGAACTCTCTTATTTTGACACGGCGCGTTCCGGCAACTATTTGCTGGGATCCGGCAACTCTGAGGCTTACTAAAAATAAAGTTATGAAAAATTTATGACTGTCTTGTCATTTTGCGAGCCATGTTTGAACATTGTCGTTCCCCTCTGCTGCTGAAATGATAAATAAATAAGTCCAACACCTCCGCTGCTGTTTTTATTTTGCTCTGGACGCCTGTCGCCCACATCACGCATGCAACAAAGAGTAAACTTAAAGCAAGAGTGATACCTGCCCCCTTTTAACTCTTTTGCTTTAACAGTTTTTTTTGTTTGTTTTTTTAGTTTTTCAAAGCACAATTTTGATGTTTCTTTTTTTATTTTGTTGTTGTTGTAAAAACAGAAGTAATGTTTAATAAATGTTAGGATTCTATACTTTGCTAACAAACTATATTAACCTCCTCAGTCCTCCGCTGCTGTTTTTATGACGCTCTAGATGCTTTTCACGCACATCATGCATGCAACAAAGAGTAAACTCAAAGCAAGAGCGATAACCGCCCCTCTCTTTTCCTCTTTCTAGTTGACAGAATGTTTTAGTTTTACTGATGAGTTTGTCAAAGCACAATTTTATTTTATTTATTTATTTTTTGTAAATGCAAAACTAATGTTTAATAATGTTAATGTTGGGACGCTATTCTTTGCTAACAAAATATATTTTATGTAGGGGTGCACCAATAAATCGGCCCCGATTTCCTGAATTTTGGGAAATCGGAAATCGTCCGATACTTGCATGAGAAACCGATTTTACCGATTTTTTTTGTTTGTTTGTTTTGTTTTAACAACAATTGTCTGAACTTCATTTATATTTCAAAGCACTACCTCATGGCCAGTTTAAACAAGTTTGTATTCTTTCTAGGATGTTGTTCAAGGGTATGTTTTTCAATAAAATTGGAAAATTGAAGGTGCATTGTGACCTTATAACACCTGACGGTGTCGCTTATAAAACAAAATCGGTGTCGGCCAAAATTGGAATCGGCAGGTCAGACTTTTTAGAAATCTGTGATTGGCCAGAAAACTGAAATTGGTGCACCCCTAATTTTATGCCATTAAACGTTAAACAACTTGTCAGTTCTTGTCTTGTGAGCATGTGCGTTCTCCAGGACCCCCCCTCGCCGGCCCACCCACTATTTGTGTTCCGGCATCGACGAGTTTACAATTTAAGCCCTGGTTGTCATTACAACAAAAAACTGAAGTGTGACACAGTCACCTGTATTTGTGTTCAAATGTATGTTTTCAGTTCATCTTGTGAGTTGGTGTTAATAAGATCAAAAGCAACATCAAGCAACACTAATTTTACACATTTCACTCAGAAAACCCCTAACCTCTAAGTGCCGGCTCTTCCCGTCTTGTTTTTGCTGAGCCTTCAGGATCAGTATCCGTCTTTTATCAACTCGTGTTGCACCCCTGCTGTTTGTATTCTGTACGCTTGTTGGCCAATGACAGATGATCCTCTGGGCAGCTTGTACTCTGCTGAGGGATTTCCCTCCTGCTGACACACTTATCTCTCTGTATCAGATTTGTGTGAAAGTTACATGTTTAATTGTGTTAATAATAAGAATGTTATGAAGATGATTGTGTAAAGACAACTCACTTAATGACTGCAAGTTATAAACCTTTCTCTGACTTTGGATTCATATGCTGGGCTTTCCTACTAACCAAACCTTTTGCATTTCCCTTTCAGTGTGTCCTGCTCACTGCAAACACCGGGCCTGCAAAGACGACCAGTGCTGCCACGAGCAGTGCCTGGGTAGCTGCACCAAGCCCAACTCGGCCAGTCACTGCGTGGCATGCCGCGGCCTCCAGCATGAAAGCATCTGTGTGGAACGCTGCCCAAACGATTACTTCATCTACAAGGGCTGGCGCTGCGTTTCCAACGCGTTCTGCCAGGATCTGCACAACAGGTGCAAGCAGGAGAAGGAGAAGAACAAGAACACTGACTGCCACGACTACGTCATCCACAACGGTGCCTGTATCCCAGAGTGCCCCTCAGGCTTCTCCATAGGCAACTCCTCGTAAGTAGACTCTCAAGTTGGTCTGGTGGGTTTTTAATGGCCTGCAGAAAACATACTTGATCACTGAAGCGTTCTTCATATTCTCGACCTTATGAGACGTCTTGACTAAAGAAAACGCTAATGAGAATCACGGAAATATGGTAATTGGTTAAAGAGTATAACTGAAAGTAAAATCTGCAGCCTACTTGATACTAAAATATACTGATAAATTTCTGCTGAAGTTTAGTTTTTTCTTTTTGTTGTTGCACAGTCAGTGCAGGAACTGATGGTCTATTCAGTTGCGACTTTTCTCTTTGTTTGATCTACAAACCTCTTTTGTTGCTGTCTGTTTGTGAGAAACCAAACATCTAGGTCAAAGTGGTGCAACACAGTGGGAAGGTTGGCACATCTGCGCCTCTGTTCTGACTCGGTATTCCACATTTTAGTGTTGCTAGGTTGTTTATCGATTTCTGGTTCTCTGCATTGCAATTCTCAAGATTTATGCAAACACAGGCCACAGCATGGATTATGCTTTCGTTTCCCCCGATCTCTTCATTTCCAACCTGTTGGGATTGGAAATGTGTTGCAGCAACAGAAAATAAACATAAAGAAGGCTGCTGACCTGTCATGCCCTTCATTTTTGTCCACTTTGACCAGTTGTTTAATGAGCGTAGGTGCACCTAAAAACACTCTACCCAATTAGTTGTACTCTGATGGGTTAAAAGCACGGCAAAATGATGCAAAAGCATTGAGTGTTGGCGATTAAACACCAGGGAGAAGTTAGTTTTTCAGACACCGGATTTTGATTCTGCAAAACGTGGAGGTTTTGTCTAGAAAGCAGCAGCAAAGTTCAAACTGCCCGTCACTGACAACAGCCATGACGAAAGAAAGCAGTTGTGCTCCTGCAGGAGTGTTTGCAGTATATTTAACCTTTAATAATCTACAGAGGATTTGCCAAGTGCGTAATCTCCATTCGAGCAACATGCAGCTTCACATTCACAGTCACATGCTATGCATTTACACCTGACCCGACTGGAGAGCAGATGGAGCTCCAGTTGAGCAGTTCAGGCCTGTTTTAGTGCTCTGCAGCCTCTGTGAAGAATAGAGAGAACGAAGCACATAAATATTTATATTAATTGATATTTATAAATATAAAGTAGGGCTAGAAAATATGGCCAAAACTTTTATCACAATATATTTCTTAATTTTGGTCGATACCGATATAATTCTGATATCGATATAAACAATTTAAAAGCCTCAGAAAAACTGTACAAACTGTACAAATAAATGAATGTTAACCTTTAATTGTATTTAGCCTTCAAAAAATTTTAAATCACAGTCAAATTAACATCAAACTCTCAAGTATTAATAGTTATAACTTTAAACAACATCTTCTAGCTCATGCAGCAAATGTCTACGGCACATTTTGCAGCACACTGAAACCTGCAGTTTATCAGATCTTAGATAGCCGAACCACTTCCACACCGCCGAATTAGTCTTTCCTCTCTTATCACTTATGTCATCTGCTTTCTCTTCACTTGTGAAAGCTTGTTCAGTCACATTCTGACGGTCATGGGCATTCATTTTGAAGCGAAAACTTACCGCGTGTTGGAGCCTAGCCTGTGACCGCTGACTCCTGGACTCGAACTCTGTGTGTGGTGTACATCATCACGCACTTACATAGTTGTGTCGCAGCTTTTTCTGTTTGGGTTGAAACTGAAGCGGCTCCTTCAACCCGAACAGAAAAAGAAATGCATCAGTGAAACCCTGTAATCATACCAAAATGTACATTGAAATATCGAAAATGTGCTTAAAACTCATATCACCGTTATTGAATTAAAGGATATCATGATATATATCGATATATATTACTAATATATTAATTATATATGTAAATATTATTATTATTATTATTATTATTATTATTATTATTATTATTATTATTATTATTATTATTATTAAATATTCAAATATATATTGATAAATTATATCTATATATGTGTATATGTATATCGATTAGGGTTGGGTACCTTTCTAAAAAAAAAAATCGGTACCGGTGTCAGTACCTTCACTTCAGTGTCGGTTCCTGAACTGTTCTTTTTTTGGTACCAATTTTGTAATTAACAGCAATTCTAACAAGAAGAAAATTACGATGCACATTACAGTACAAATCGTGAGTTTTATTTTTTAACTTTGGTATTTTTCCATTCCAAGCAGTTTTCTCACATAAAAATAAACAAATAATTTCCAGTTCAAAAGAACAGTTGCAAACCAGTGACATGTCAGTGTCCAATGCTCACTGCTACACACTGAGGACCTTTTCACTGAGCAGTTTTTCTTCAGAAACATCAACATGTCTGCTTTCTTTGGACACAAACAAGCCCACTCCTGGCTGATGGTGTCTCCAGCAGTAGAAAATGTTCACTCTGAGGCTGTAGATGATGCTTGTTGCACACACAGATACCTGGTTGCCAGTTTGACAGCACTGGCATATTGTCCCTCACATTCCACCAGCAGATCACTGGATTCACTAAGGTTAGGGTTGATGCAGACTTTTGTACCTCTGTGTCTCCCTGAATCTTCTCTGTGGTTCTTTGAGGTTTAGGGCTCTTATCATCTCCCTAATTGACATTAGAACACATAACATCAACAATAACATGGTTGTGTTATTATTGCTCACAAACCATTATCTAGACAGAGAGAAAAGTTTAACTGGTCAACAATATCCTTTACAGCTTACTTACCTCCACCATGCAGCCTCCACTGTAGAAAAAGGCAGTGGTCCCCCCATCTCGCTTTTCTTTTGTCAGTCTCTGTCCTCCTCACATCAGGGTCAGAGCCTCCTGTGAGGAGAACATTAACGGTGAACATTAGGTGAACTGTTTAACTAGCTGATCCGATGGATGAGCACATTTTTACAAGCTTTATCTGTTAGTGTCAATCTTTAGTTAGCTTTTGATTTTAGCTAGCTACATAGATAACCATAAACTAACGCTCCACACTAATATCTTAAAGTTAGCATTACATGGATTCTAGTTTAATTCACTGCGATGGACGTATTAAGCTGCAGTAACGTTAACAAACGTAAACTTACCAGCTGAAATCCCAGACACAGCTCCGTCCTCGGAGTTCTTTGATGAAGAGGAGTCCCATCGTGGAAATAATGAATCGGGCTGTTCAACACTCACATGTTGATTTTAACGCTGAGAGGAGGGGGGAGGCTGCAGTCCCCCTTGAAGACAAACACGGAGCAACTTTCTGCTCGTAAATTGAAGCCGTTCGACGCCACGCGCTGCACACGTGAACCCCGTTTGTGGGTGTAACCAGCACTATAGACATACAGCTGTAGGACAGCCCTATACAGCTCTGGGTGTAAACACGTAGTCTGTTTGCTATATGTCTGCTTTTTACCTGCCTGCGTGCCGAAACCACGTGACACGTTACATCCAATACCGAAACTTGATACTGAAAGAAGAGTGACGTTTCAATCCATACACCGACCGACGCAGTTCGGTTGGTGCCATAAAAGAACCTCGGTTCGGTATACAGCCCTAATATCGATATTGAATTATTGTCCAGCCCTATTAAAATGCAGATCATTTTCTTTGTTATCATAGTTTTGTTCCTTTTAAATTCACGAACAACTGAAAAACTATCAAAACACCGTCCAACAAATCCATTGTTTCTCTTTAAATTGATTTTTTTCTGTTTTTGATGTCAAAAAATATATAAAGTTTTAAGTACAAATTTATGAGTCTTGATATCAGATCAGTCTTTTACTTCAGTAAATTTTGAGTTACACAATCGGACTAAATCAAATGTTTGTGCAAAGTAGTAATAATAAAGCATATATGTTGGCTAAAACCCCAGCACATGTTTTATTACAAATAAAGACACTGCTTTTTTCTTTTCATAAAGAGGGTTTTTATTGCATACTTGTGTTCTAAGATTTTAGGTTTCATAACAAAATGCATGATTTATTTTTTGCCTGTATATAACAATATTGATAATATTGTCAGATAAAAAGCTCTGTAGCTGCAGTAAATTGAACCAAAGGTAGCCACTCTTTGGCAGGATTTCATCCCTTTATTTTCCAGGGAAATGAATATAAATCCTGCACATCACAACCTTTAGGCCACTCTTAACCTTTGGCGAATCCATTTGCTCTTCCATGTTGAGCTTTTCGCACCGACTCACCCTCCTTCCCCTTTTTGTCTCTTCTCTTTTTGGCATCTCATTCCCGTTGTCTTTGTTTAAACTAAGCTGTGTAAAAGAAAGTGCTCTCAGGATATGTGGCGTTCACCTCAGTTATGAGTGTCTGGGCTAAAAGTGCAGATGTGGCATCAAAGTAAAAAAAAAAAAAAAAGGTCAGGATAGTTCATGAAAGTGAAGAAATAGCGCAAAACAATTGCTTTTGTTTGCATCGCAGATATGTCTTAAACACCTTCTAGGTCTGTAAGGAACTGTGTCACAGGAGCTGCTTGTTTTGCTGTTGGCAGCTGTTTGTTTATCTCATCTACTGTTTCAACATTCTTACAGCTCACTGTAGATTGTAGATTAGTCAGTGCCGTGAAGTTTGTCGCTCGGTAGCTGACACTCAGTTCTGTTGTCAAGGTGCTTTCTTATTCTTTTGTAATTTTCTCACTGAGCTGCTACTGCTGGGAACTAACACAATTTTAAGAGTCTCCAGAAAGTCTCAAAACGTTAGCGGGGATTCTCACTTTCCTCATGCGAGTCCCAAAGCCTCGCAGTCTTGTCGCTTGTATTTCGAACATGCTCAAAAGGTTAGGGCGACAGATTTTCTCTTAAATATTTGGTCATTGCGGGCAACTCCAAACCAGCATTTTGTCAAATAATAATTTAAAAAACTACTCTAAATCTGCCTAACTTTATTTTTAAAGTGTATTTACCAGTATATTAAATCATGAAAATGTGTGAGGCTGTGGGCACAAAGTGAGCCAAGGGGGGTTATAATATGGGCTAGAATGCAGTTTTACAAGCCACACACAAAATTAAGCCAAAAATCTTTGTCCATATACTCTCGTTAAAAGTTGTACATGTGCAGTAGCTTCTCTCAATACAAGAGATAGGACCATTCTGGGGCGCACCTCTCCTGTGCCCAGAGCTGAATGCAGCTTGATTAGCATATCAGCACTCTTCCGCGGTGGGACGACCATCACAATTAATCAACAGTCCAAAGACAGAGGGGGTCAGTACACTCTGGTCTTTTTCCAGGACCTAGTTTGGTAACAAGGCTTGGCTAACTGCATGTAGCAAGGCTAATGCTTTATTCTGCTTTCCCTGCCTCCTTTTTCAAACATCAGGGTCTGACCCAGCATGGATTAAGACAGGTATGATTGATTTAAAGCATTTTTTTTTAGAAAAGGCAAAGAAGCATGAACAATTTGGGATCCACATGGAAAAAGCACTACCACTAGCCATGTTTGGAAAAATAAACATGTCATCTCAGCTTGATGAAGGCTATAGGGTAGGGATCCGTAAGTACAGTGAGGAGGTTGACAAAAACAGGCACATTCTATCAAAAATAATAGACTGTGTCAAGTTCTGTGGTGCATTTGAACTTGTCCTGCATGGCCATGATGGAAGTGAAAGCTCAGAAAATCCGGGTGTTTTTAGAGGATTGGTGGATTTTGTAGCATCACTAGATGCAGTTCTACATGAGCACCTGCAGACTGCCGCTGTGTTTACGGGAACATCTAAGACTGCAGAATGAACTCTATGACTATATGCTGTCAGTTTTGAGAGAGTGCATCATTGAAGGCATGCAGACTTTGTCTCTATCCAGGCTGAATGAAACAATGGACATTTTCACTCCACACACTAGCCCCCCCTGGAGAAAACTCCACCAGCTGCCACTGCTCAGCAGTTTTATTTAAAGTAGATGTAATCAACATTTAATTATGTATTAAAAATTAGATCTGATTAGTTTTTTTCCTTTAGCCTCAGCTTTACACTTCAGCCTGTTTCCAGCTACTTCTGACTGCTGTTTTCAGTTTAAAATCTTTAATAAACTTGTACAACTGCACAGTTTATCCAGCACCACACATGGGCAGAGCTGCATTTATCAGCTAGTGACACATATTTTGTTCAAGCTTTAATGCAGATTTTTGAACTACAGTAGATTAAAATGTAGACAAGTTACATTCTCATGTTTTTTTTCTTCCTATCTCTGTCTTTGATTTGTTGTGAAGACTCCACTGTAAACCCTGCGCAGGACCTTGCCCCAAAGTGTGTAGGGGTGTGAAAATGGTGGACTCTGTCACTGCCGCCCAGGCTTTAAGAGGCTGCACTGTTCTCAATGGGAGCCTGGTCATCAACCTGCGGGGAGGAAGTGAGTGCTTGTGGTTTGTTTGGTTGAATCAGATTCTGTTGTACATCCATCTGATCAAAAAAGCATTAAACAAAAGACTGTTGGCATTAAATGAAACCAGGAAGATGCAATGAGTCAAACAGTTGGTAAATATAAAATATAATGCTGTTTAAATGTAAAATAATGCATTTTTTTTCCTTGAGATGTTGGATACAGTTGTAAAGATAAGTTAAAAATCAAAACATGAAATCTACAGAAAACACTTGTTTGTGTCCGAACAAACCAAACTATGGAACTGTGATTGTGTGTGATTCTTGTGTTTTTGTTTTCTTTAGACAATATCGCAGCTGAACTGGAGGCCAGTCTGGGCCAGCTGGAGGAGATCACTGGCTACCTGACAGTGCGACGGTCCTACGCCCTTGTGTCCCTCTCATTTTTCCGTAAACTCCGTCTGATTCGTGGGGAAGAACAGGAAATCGGGTGAGATTCTGTTCTCCTAGGCCTCTCTGGTGCTCACCATGGCACATCCTCCTCCTGTAATTATGAGTTAAAAGTGGACTGACCTTTTCTAAATGTCTTTCTGTGGCGTCCTCTTTTGGTTTGACTCTCAGAAGACAAAATGTTTCAAAATGCTTTTTGCACAAGGGGCTGCAGTTGTAATAGCAAATGTTGTACAAACAGCTTGATTCAAATTAGACCAAATTGTACTGCTCAGGTTACTCCAAAAGCTTTGTCAGATCATGCATCGTTGCAAATATACTCATGCAGACGTCTGCATTGTTTCCCAGGAATTACTCCTTCTATGCCTTGGACAACCAGAACCTGCGGCAGCTCTGGGACTGGTCCAAGCACAAGCTAACAATCCTGCAGGGGCGCATTTTTTTCCACTACAACTCCAAACTCTGCATGTCAGAGATCCACCAGATGGAGAACGTGACGGGAACCAAAGGGCGCCAAAGTGCGAGCGACATCGCGATCAAGACCAATGGAGACCAGGCCTCATGTAAGAAACTCAACCCTGCGGATGTTACTTTTGATGCAAGTGGTTACTATGGCAACAAACAACACGGAGTCAGGCCTGGTACACTTTCAATTAGCTATTGTTATGATGGTTATTTTCTGCCTTGTGTTTGCAGATACTTCCTGGAGACCTTTATACTAATATACTGTGTTTTTCGCCCTATAAGTCGTGTTTTTTTGCATAATTTGCATGCCCTGCGACTTATACGCCAAAGCAACGTATTCATGGATTTTTCCTCTTTATTAAACATTTTAGGATTGATGCAACTTACAGGGCAGTGCGACGTGTACGGCAAAAAATACGGTAGTTTAAGTAATAACAACCAACCGAACAAAGTCCTTTGATTTGTTATTTCTGGAGCAAAGGGACTCCAGATGAGAAATCAAATAACAGTGATATAGTTTGTCTTTTGCATTTTAGTCTGAAATTTTTTTAGTCCCATTTTATGCATTTTTACAATTCTAATGGGTTTGAGTATTATTTTTACAACATACTGAATGTCTGGGTTGAAAGGACTTAATGGAGAGAAATATCCTTGTTTTTATGGAGCTTTAAAGGAAATTCCAAATACTGGTTTCAGCTTGATTTGATGCACAGACATAATGACGACTGAAGCAAGATTGTTATTTTCAGAAGAGAAAGAAAAAACCACTACAAACTGTCTGCTTAGCACTGAAGCACACAGTTTGTACTACTCTGAGTGAAGAAGTGGGGCTCTTAAAGAATCAGTTTTTTTTAATTCTGTAAGGAGTTGCCTGCTCTCATGTTTGTCAGATTGGTCTTTTGCCTAGATTTTAATCCTGGTTAATACAGATGAGACAACATTTATGAACCTTTTAAATTACATAAATTTACCTTTTCTGGTTAGAGGTTTGTAAATGTTGTTACCTCTTCATGCTGCTTGTTTTTACTGTTTAGTTAGAGTTTAAAGTCTTCTGGGTTTCTTTTTACCGTCTGGCTTTTATTCTCTTGAATCAAAAGTCTCATTTGTTTAAACTTTTGTATGAAACTACAGAAATCTCAGCTGTCAAAGACCCAAAGGTCCAAACTAACCCCCCCCCCCCCAACACAAAAAAAAGGCTTTTATTGCATTTTGTTTTCTTCACTGAGTACATTGACAAATATAGTAAAAACATGCAGAAGCATAGCTGCACTTGACTGACCCACAGGGGACCATTGTGAAAAGTAGATTTTGTAAATAAATCAGGAAGGCTTCTAAAAGTACATTACTGTCCTGTTTCTCTACTCACAAACACTAGTTTGGTTCTGCAGCTCTGCATGAGCAAACGGAAAAATATATATATTCTTTACAAGTGCGTAATAAATAAATGTATTTTCTGTGACACTGCAGGATATATGCTCTGAATGACATTGCTTCAATTTTTTGAAGAAACCAAAACCTACTTAAAAAAAGAAGCAAAACACAAGCTAAAAGAAGAAGAACACTATCTAAAAGCTAAAAGAAACAAAACATTAGCTAAAAGAAGCAAAACACAAGCTAAAAGAAGCAGAACACTAGCTAAAAGCAAAAAGAAACAAAACACAAGCTAAAAGAAGCAGAACACTAGCTAAAAGCTCAAAGAAACAAAACATTAGCTAAAAGAAGCAAAACACTAGCTAAAAGAAGCAGAACACTAGCTAAAAGCTAAAAGAAACATAACATTAGCTAAAAGAAGCAGAAGCAGAACTTTAGCTAAAAGAAGCAAAACACTAGCTTAAAGCTAAAAGAAGCAGAGCACTAGCTAAAAGCTCAAATAAACGAAACATTAGCTAAAAGAAGCAGCACACTAGCTAAAATAAGCAGAACACTAGCTAAAAGAAGCAGAACACCAACTAAAAGCTAAAAGTAGCAAAATGCGCACTAAAAGCCAAAATTCACAAAAGGCTCCCAAAATCCTAATTATAGCAAAAGAGGAACTGGAAGCAAAACATGACAAAATGCTAGCTAAAAGTAGCAAAAGTCTCACTAAAAGCCAAAATTTTAAAAAGTCTCTCGAAAAGCTGGAAGCTAAAAATGATAAAAGGCTAGCTAAAAAGTCAAAGTAGCAACATTCTAACTAAGGTAGCAAAAGGCTAGCTAGAAGCTAAAAATAAATTAAACAACTTGGCTAAAATTGGAGCCGAAAGTAGAACAAATATGCTAAAGCAGTTAAAAAAAAAAAAGATTAAAAATAAAAAGTTGAAGAAATCCTACTGCATTTTTATTGGAGATTATTTTTTCTATTCAGGTAAAAAAGTAGTTAAGTTGCAAAAACCACGAGTCGTAGCACTCATCTTCTGAATGAGCTGAAAGATTAATATAGCACAAAATGTACAGAAGTAGTTAGATTGCAAAAAATGTACCGGTACATAAAAATAACAGAAAAACAGTATTTTCAAGTCTGAATCTGTATAACCATAAATTATATATTTATGAATGTAGAGAAAGTGATAGCTGAGGCTGCTGTAATACATGTGGATATACAGTACGTTATATATATTTCTAATATATCCTTATGTCTAATTGTTTTCCTCTCATCTTTAAATCCTGATAATGATTTAAAGCTTATATGTTTATCTTTTAATGTTGTCTTATATTCTTCCAGGTGAGAACTCTCAGCTGAAGTTCACCCAGATTCGAACAATGAGCGATAAGATTATGATCAAGTGGGAACCCTTCTGGCCTCCTGACTTCAGAGATCTGCTGGGCTTCATGGTGCTCTACAAAGAAGCGTAAGTTCATCCCAAGATTGTCAGAGACTCGAATCTCTGCCAGATAGATGATGTTTTCAGCTTTAAGTGCTTCAAAGATGAGAGAAAGTTGAGTTTAATCATGTTTCATAACATCAGTCCCTGTTTCATGAATCCCTGAATTGCAGAATATTAAAAAGATCATTATAGATTGCCTGTAAAATTAAAGGTAAAACCACATCGTACACTAACACTCAACTCTAAACAATTTAAAAGGAAGATAAAATACCCCATCTTTATTTTTTGCATTCCTTTTCCGTGCTGTCATATTTTCTTGTTTGTGTTTTCTATTTGTTCCGATTTGAACTTTGTTTCGGTCTCAGAAATCATCAGATGATATCCTGGAATTTCCTCGCTGCAGTTTACTGCGCTCAGTTTTTGAAAAGCTCTTTTGCCTTTTCTGAATGCTCCCATAAATCTCATGATGAAGTGCTGTAAAAATATATGAAACTCAAACCCATTCTCCTTACTTGGGTAAAATACAATTTAGGCGGACGTATATAACGCACCATTCATCTGGATATTGTTATTGTTTTTCACCACCGTAGACCTTTCCAGAACGTAACTGAGTTTGGTGGGCAAGACGCCTGTGGCTCCAACAGCTGGGTGATTGCTGACGTCGACCCTCCACGTCGAGCCTCGGATGGAGATAGAGAGCAGATTGAACCGGGTCACCTCATCATGCCTCTGAAGCCCTGGACGCAGTACGCCATAATGGTGAAAACCCAACTCTCGGCATCTGATGATCACCAAGTCCTCGGAGCCAAAAGCGAAATCATCTACGTTCGCACCAACGCCACCAGTAAGATTGATTGAGCTTTGTGCTGATCCCAGTTCAATTTGTTAAAAAAATAAAAAAATTAAAATCATTAGATTTATTGGAATATATTCATGTAATATGAGTCTAAACTATAATAACTTCGTGTGTAATTGAAAAATTGATAAATTCCTCTAGTAAGGTCCCCTCATCATGCAAATTAACACACATTTTTATCTATTGCTTATGCTGTTTTTCATGCCTAAGATAGTTCTTATTCATGTTTTCTCTGTGCGGCTTAGACAAGCATCTTACACAGATACATCTAAAAAACTTATAATACTGTAGTCCCTTGTTTATCGTGGGGGAACCGTACCCTGAAGCCCCACGACAAGTGAAAAACAGCAAAGTAGGAATAGTAGTACAAGTAGTAAGTAGCATATGCATGTATGTGTGTGTGTGTGTGTGTGTGTATATATATATATATATATATATATATATATATATATGTGAAGGAATACTCTTGCAGTATTCTAAACAATGTTTCTAAACTCTAAACGCTCTAAGAGGACAAAATGTCTTGATTTCAGCTCCCTGCCTCCCCTGCTCTTTGCCACCTGTAAGCGCTCTCGGCCACGCCCACTTCTCCGCTCTGCACGGAGATCAGCTAATTAGCTGCAGGAGGAAACTTGTCCTGCAGCTGTGAGCTGCACAGCGGTGCAGGAGGAAGCTTTTTATGCAGCTCCGGGCTGTACAAAGGTGCAGCAGGTGCTAAATTATTTTAAATAATTTATTTTAAATAAAACGTCCATGCCGATCGTGTGCCTCATCCATCATTCAGCCAGTTGTGTGTCATGTCCAATCTTATTTTGAAAAACCACGATAGAGCGAGTCCGCGATAAACGAACCGCGAAGTAGAGAGGAACTATTGTATTGTTTTTTTATTATCTGTAAGCCACAATCATCAAAATTACAAGACATAAAGAAACACTCTGTGTAATGAACCTATTTTAATATGAGTTCACTTTCTGAAATAATTGATTAAAAAATGGGTCTTTTTCACGATGTTCAAATTTTTTTTAAATGCACCTGTATTAAATTTATTATTTGTAAATATGCCTACACACATCACACTCACTTAGTCAAACTCAGACTGGCAGATTTAAAAAAAAAACCACCCCCTTAACACTTCTGCTCAGGCATGAACTCGGGTAAAGCATTGAGCAAATCCAATTAGGAGCTGTGACACCTGTTCAAATCACAGCTTCACCTGAGTCTCACTCGTAACCTGAAGCCTGCAGTCAGTTCTTTACATGTAAAAAATTGAGTTCCTAGTTAGTTACAAGTTCTCATAGTGGAAAAAGTTTGTGTAACGATGATTTGTCTGTGTCTTTGACTGGTTCAGTCAGTGCTGCTTTGCTGCAAAAATGTCCTTTTCTCAAAAACAAGGAAGAGCAAGTCAGATGAAGAGATTACACCAGGGTGTCACCGACATACGGGGCCCCATCTTGTGTCAGAAGTCTTGCAGCAATTATGAAGCTCTTCCTCAGTACTTGATGTTCTTTGCCACCCACAGTGTGCGGGTAGTTTAGGGTAGTTAAAGTTATGATGGCCTGTCTCACTGACTTCCTTTTAGAAAGTAGATGTTTCCTTCCTTATAAAAACCACATGAAAAATGACATCCCTTGCTCGCTCAGAACAGGCTTGCAGCATCAGCGAGCGAGCATCATGAGGAAGGGGTGGTTGTTTTTGGCCCGTGTAGCAGACGCTCCGGGTCCCTGCTCTCTGTCTCATCGGCAGGGCAAAGCTGTCATTACACATAAGCTGCAGCCGGTGGATCTTTGTCTGACAATGTGGTCAGACCAGTTTGTGGCATCGTAACGTAACAAGGACAACATAATCGCTCTGTGACGATGAAACTCTGGCTTCTCTTTCTCCTCAGCCTTCAATCAAACACACCCACAGACGTGTGTATAAACCACTGCCCACACACTCCTCCCAGAGCTTCCATCTGAAGCTTTGATGGTTCGCAACGATACTCCATTTTAGGCCAGAGCAAGGTGTCACATCTTGTGTGAATTAAATTCAGCATTCTTGTCGTTTATCTTTCCATACGTTGCTGCAATCAAACTACTTCTGCATGCTTTGTGCTATTTTAGCTGTTCATATGTCAAAACGTTCAGCTCATACAGGCGATGGGTGCCATGACAATTGGTTTTTTGTATTTTTTTATTTACTTTTATTTACAAATACTTTTCAAATAGAAATAATTTTTTCATTTCCTTTATGTCAACATCATTACTCTTTCTGAAATCTGCTCCTGCGTACTTGCTGTATTTTTGTCTACTTATGCTTTAAGCTTGTTGCAACTTTTACCTTTTAATTAATCTTATGCTCCTTTAAGCTTTTATCTAGCTTTTTGATATTTTTAGCATTTACGGTACTTGTTTATGCTTTTTTTAAAGCTACCTTTTGGCTTTTAGCTATACAGTAGTCCCTCTCTACTTCGCAGTTCGTTGATCGCGGACTCGCTCTGTCGTGGTTTTTCAACATATTATTGGACATGACACACAAGTGGCTGATTGATGGATGAGCCGCACACTCGTCATGGAATTTTTATTTAAAATAAATATTTTAAATTATTAGCACCTGCTGCACATTTGTGCAGCCCACACTGCAGGGTAAACTTCCTGCTGCAACTGATCAGCTGTTCTTTGTGCAGAGCAGAGAAGTAGGCGTGGCCAAAAGCGCTTGCAGGTGGCAAAGAGCAGAGGAGGCAGAGAGCTGAAATCATGACATTCTGTGCTCTTTTAGAGCATTTAGAGTTTAGAAAAATTGTTTAGAATATTGCAAGAGTGTGCGAAGGGTTTAAAACGCCTTAATATATATAAATATTAAAATAAACTACTACGCACTACTTGTACTACTATTCCTACTTTGTGGTTTTTCACTTATCGCGGGTCTTCAGGGTACGGATCCCCTGCAATAAACGAGGGACTACTGTACTTATTTTACATTAGTACTTATATTTTTATCTAGCATTTTGCTACTTTTAGTTAGTATTTTGCTCCTGTCTTCTAGCTACTGTTTTTATACTTAAATCTTTTAACTGTTTTACTATTTTTATCTATTGTTTTGATACTTTTAGCTAAGATTTAGCGTATTTTAGCTTCAACAACTCATTTCCAGCATCTTTAGTTACTTTCAGTACACATCCACACAGCGTTTTTGCAGAAAATGCAGTTTCTCTAGTTGTTCTGACCACTAGCTGGCAGCCCTCAGAAAACACAAGTTTGTATAATCTAATGAAATAGTCAGCAGTAAAATGGTTTTTAGGGCCTCAAGCTGTTTTCATAAGTTTAAATCCTCCCAACAGCAGCACTCGTAAGTGGCTGAACTCATGCAGTTAGTTGACAATGATTGATGTGAAAAACAAGGTTCCTGTAGTGAATTTGAACCAAAACAGATTTAATGATGACAACTTAATAAATTTCTGTAATGAAAATGTCAAGTTTAATTAAAACAACTTGGAATGTTAACACTGTATTAGTGTTACAATTCCATATTAGTTCATGTAAACAAAGGGTAGAGAAAAATGAATGAACTGTAAAATAAAATTAAAAAATAAGTAAGGGATATTTGAACACTTGAAAAATATGACAAAATCATGACTCAGCTCAAACTGAAATACAAATAAGCGAGATAAAAGCAGCATAGCAAGCTACTTAAATCACTTAATTTAATGTATTTTATCTAAAATAATGTCCAAATGGTTTTAATTTGTTTGTGGCATGGAACCAAAAACCAAAAAACAATGTTTCTTTACACAAAACAAACATCAAATGATATAATACCGAAAACCCCAAACTAGTGGGGAATACCCGGAGCTGGCAGCTGCGAGTTGCACACCAACTCCGTGCCAGTAAGTGTGCCACGTGTAACCTGAAATGCAAATTTAATCGAAACGGCTCTTCTCTTCAAACTGCAATGATCTGTTTCTAGATTTGTGCCAAACGTGACAGGATTTAAACCAAGTTATCACAAAATCGCATTGTGTTCTTCCCTAATTATTTGTGCCTGACATGAAAAATTAACTTTGAAACTCACTTAAACTGAGGTGCGTTTGAAAGCAAACCACACCGACAAGAAGTGCCTTCTGATCCATTTATAGTCGATATAGATTCAGTACTTTCATAAAAAACTTTTTAGACAGCAACTTAGTTTAAAAAAAAAAATCAATATAACTGCTAAAGCACAAGTCTTTCATTCATGTTAAGACATTTGTTTATGTACCATAATTTCCGGACTATTGAGCGCACCTGAATATAAGCCGCGCCCACTAAATAAAAATAATAATAATTTTGTATATAAGCCGTGGGTGTCCATGTTGTAACAAAAGATATGTACACAAAGATTTTTTTTAACTTCTAATTAAATATGTACCGGTAACATGCACAAAAACGTACAGTAAATGTTTATTTCTGAACCTGTGCCTGTTACACGGCTGGTTAAAAAAATAAAATAAAATAGCTACCAGGAAGTCATTGATTGCTATCTTACAACAGAGCTTTAGGGCCACGCTAAGAATAAAAAAGACATTGCCACGCTAGAAAAAAATTAAAAGCCATAAAATTACAAGAATAAAGTTGTAGTATTACAAGAATAAAGTTGTAGTATTACGAGAATAAAGTCATAGTTTTACGAGAATAAAGTCGTACGAGACTTTTTTTTTTTAACAGCTCGTTAATTTTTTTCCCACGATTCGGATCCACGACGCGACCTGTCTTTCAATCCAGTAGGCGTATCAGCAAATGACCAATCAAAGCTAAATGCTCCTTACCTGCAGAGAGCTGGACTCTTCCACCTTACTGTAAGCAGGTTCAAAGTCCTGATATTGATGATAATCTGATGCTGATGTGCTAACAGATTACAGTTTCGCTCACTGAGCGCTGTTTTCAAACAGAAACACAAACGAAGGTCATGATGAAATGACGTCATGTATATGCATCCCAGAAGCAGCATACAAAAACACAACAGTAGGTGGCAGTATTGGAACACGTTTTGAGTAAGAATGTCAATAACAGTATAGTTTAACAAACATTCTTCATTTTACCACAGATAAAATGCAGTAAACCTGCTTTATCTTGTCAGAGTAGGGATAATATTACAACTCATTTAGCTTCGGATTGGTCATTTGCTGATGCATTTACTGGATTGATTGACAGGTCGCGTCGTGGATCCGACTTGTGGAAAAAAGAAAAATTTAACTAAGACAGCTGTTTTAAAAAAAAATGCTCGTACGACTTTATTCTCGTAATATTAAGACTTTATTCAACTTTTTTCTCGTAACACTACGGCTTTATTCTCGGAATTTTATGGCTTTTAATTTTTTTTTTTCTTAGCATGGCAAAGCCTTTTTTATATTTATTTTTTTGCTTGTTTGTTGTTTTTTTGCTTGGCCCTAAAGCTCCGTCGTACTATCTTCATCTTCCTCCTACAGAGGATTTTTTTAACACTGCTCCACCGTCAGGATCCGCTGGCAGACTTGAGCAAAAGTTTCTCTGCACATGCGGCCAGTTTTGGTAAACAATTTCTTGCCACCGGTCATCCAAACCTCCCACTGAGCTCGGAGTGCCCCCGCAAGAGAGACATGTCTTGGTCAGCTCTGTGAGCGCCCGGGTGTAACGAGACTAAATGTTTTGGCGGCATGACGCTTGTTAGCCCGTCAACAAGACAGATCCATAAATTATCTGCATCGTGTTCAAAGCGTGTGAAAAAAGTAGCGGCTTATAGTCTGGAAACTACGGTAAATTTAAATCTTAGTCCATTATTCACCCACTTCCATTTTTTAAAATTAAGTTAACCTCTAATATATGTAATGAGCCCTTTGAGCATCGGGCTTATCTTCAGTGGACGTCAGAACATTTTCTTTTGCTGAGCTGTAAGTGTTCTTTTGCTCTAAACAATTATTTCTGTTTCTTTTGTTTTCCTTTCAGAACCCTCAGTCCCATTGGACCCCATCTCCTCCTCCAATTCCTCATCTCAGATCATCTTGAAGTGGAAACCTCCCAACGACCCCAATGGAAACGTCACTCACTACCTGGTTTTCTACCAGCAGCAGCCTGAAGCCAGTGAGCTGTACAAGTTTGATTACTGCCAGAAGGGTGAGACACACTGTTTGTGGTTGTTTCTGGGTTTTTAACAGGTTAAGAGTTTGTCTAAATGTATCTAATATCAGATTTTCTGACATTTGCATAAACTTTAGAGTTCTTCTTGCTCAAAGCTTTTTGCTACAATAAGTTGCTGCAGTCTACCTACATTGGTCTCTAAACACCCTTTGCTTTAATTTAAACAGCTTCATTTCATATTCAATTTTATTCAAAACTTTAAATTAAGTCATCTTTTCAATGGCTTGTATTAGACCTCAATGTTAATTTATTAAGTAGGTTGTTCACCTTGTTCTAATGGTTAGAAAAATGTGCAATGCACATAATGCATTCATGCACTTTTTGACGTTCTTTAATGTTTAGAAGCAAGTTATTATGCACGCTAAATAAAGGTGCTGCCACGCTTCCCTTCACCTTTCTGCAGCCTGTATGTTCCTGTGTGCTCTGATTGGTCATCTGATGCAAGCTGCTCATTCATTGTTTGGGTTGTGAAAAAACAGCCACATGGCTGTAATTACACAAATCTGACTGGGAAAATCAAGGAAACAGAAACAAATCAGACATTTCAAACAAGTAGGCTCCAGCGTCTCCTGTGGAAGACTGTACGTCTTTTTTGTGCATGTTCAAAACCTTTTACATATGTTTTACGTGTTTAAAGATGCCGTACAGCTTCTGGTGTTACAAGTACGTACTATTTGCGTTGTACTTTTGATGTTTGTTATAATTCTGCTTGCCTCAATTTGTGACTTATCACAGTCCTGATGATTCGATAGAAGCAGAGCTTTGCTTTGACCCTCTGAGTCATCAAAACAAACTAAAACAAAACTAATTTTCTTAAAACCCTGAACTCTTGGCAACCCCTACACCTGTTTACAGGTTCGAGTAATTTGAGTGATCTTACAGGTATCGGTTTTTCCAAAACACAGCCGTATTCACTAACACGCGAGGAGAAAACAGAGTCAACACTTATTTTATGATAACCCTGACGAAGGTTAGCGAGCAAAGTTAATTTTATACTAATCAGATTACTCAAAGCCAGAGGTGTAACAGTGGATGTATTTCTACTGTGATGGTTTGATACGGACCTTTTGGACAGTGGAATAAATTAGACGACAAATCAGTTACATGTGAGCATCTCTTCTATAGCAGGCACACGTTTTATTTAACTGTGAAGAAAGATACTACATAACAACTCCATGCCAGAATACGGCTGGATCAGAAAAACATGCAGAAGCTCGAAAACTGTCCATTCAAACCAGCTGTGTGGGAAAAGCTCCGTGCTGCCATTGATTTCTTGCCAGAATAGCGAATCTCTTGAGCAATTTATCACCAGACAATATCTGTTGTTTCATGGCAGGTTTAGGGTAAACATCTCCCCATCCATTTTTTCAACTTTTGAAAGAACTCAATAAAAACATGTAAGAAGAGCTGCTTCGGGAACATGTTTGTCCAAGCAAGGCGCAAGGACACATACATTTTTTCTATTATTCAGGAGCACCAATGCTTGAAAATAGATCCGTGTTGAGAAATGTTTCTAGATGCTGCAGCACAAAGTGTCCTCAGACAGCTGCTGCAGGAGGTGTAATTGAAAACAATGGAGATCGAATTTTTGACACGTGTCATATGACACCTGTGTTTTGTCTTTAAGACCTTGACTTTTATTAAAAAAATAAGAGAAGTGTCCTGAAACAGCCATGATTCTGACAGTTTTATATCAGCAGGGAGGAGTTTATGTCTCAAACGCATTTGTGATGGAAGTAACGTCTATGAAGAGACAGAGAAGTTGTTTTTCACGTCTGTGTGAATTGAATAAATTCATTTCTGGAAACCTGAATAAAACACTCGTCACCAGGTTCAAATCAAGTTCATACGTTTATTTTAGCTGCAGCTTTTTGCTCCGTATCAGTCAGCTACCATCAGTGCCCATCTCTGCGAGTGCAAAATATGACTTTCCTCTTTTGAGCTCCTGTATTCTTCGAGTCTGCAGGGCGAATGTCACTGATCATTTATCTCCACTGTAGAGGAGCTGGAGACCTGGAGATGACAATGACAAATGTGTCCTGCAGGCGTGTGGATACTGGGCATTAATTTGTGTTTTGTATTTGTTTATTGCACCGGTCATCTCATCAGTTCCCCTGTTCTGTCTCGCTGTTGCCAGGGATGAAGTTACCATCGCGGGAGCCCACTCAGGTGGATGGTGATGAGGAGCAGAAGTGGAACCAGACTGAGGAGCAGGGCCATGCGACGAGATGCTGCGCCTGCCCGAAAACTGACAAGGAGCTCAAGAAGGAGAAAGAGGACTCAGAGTACCGGAAGACCTTTGAGAATTACCTTCACAATGAAGTCTTTGAGATCAAGTAGGTCTTTGGATTAATACATTCTCCAGTATTTATTTATGTTGTTGTTAGGCCTGTCACGATAAACAATAAATCAATTAATCGCATGATAAATGGCAATTATCAATCTCATTTTCATTTATCGGCTTTATCATTTATTCGTGTCTCTCTTTCTACTGAAGGCACTGGATGACAAAATGCTCTACTCCGGCGCTCTTCACTGACTCCTCCCTTTCTCTTTAAAAAAAAAATAAATCCATTTTAACCGTCCAAAATTGCGTTTTTGGACCATTAAAAGCAGCTAAGCTGAGAAGCTAAGCTACGAGCTAAGCTAACAGGCCGACCTCGGGGGGAAGAAACTTCGGTCTTTTCGGAGCTCCAAAATTCACGGTTGAAACCCGTGCCTTCGTGTAAAAAGTTGTTTTTCTCTGCAAAAAGAAGCTGAGAAGTTGTTTGCTGAATTTTTATTAAAAGCTTTGTGTGAAAGATGTTATGCTAAAGAGCTCAAACCACACCAAGCTTCTGTCATTTTGACAACCGAATATAAAGGGAGGAGAGGCAGCCCATGTCACGTCAAGGGGCCTCCCTCCCATTTTTCTTAAAAAGACACACTGCTCACTCCCTCACTTTCCATCTTTCGGTTCAAACGGTCTTATACTGCCATTCGGTGGTCAAAAAAGATACTACACTCAAAACAAATTAACCAACATTTCTTTTTATGTTTGACAATAATTAGTAATTATTGTCAAATTTCAAACAATATTATCGTTTATCTCAATAATTTCTGAGACAGTCACCCAGCAAAATTTATTATTGTGACAGGCCTAGTTGTTGTTAGAAGATCTTTGTTTGTTTTACCTCACATCATAATCAGACTCTGTTTGATTCAGCCGTTCTCTCAGTTGAGCCTAATTTATTTGATCATTTGTGCTTCTTTTACTTTAAATTTGATAAAAACCATACATTTAAAGTTTAGGCTTTATAAACATGCTTGTCTTTTCCAGACGCTCCAGGCAGAAGCGCTCCGTGATGGGCATCGCCAACAGAACACACCCCTTCCTCACCACCACCCCCAGTCTACTCGGGGGCACGGGCATCCCTGATGGTGAGGACGGGGAAAACGTAGAAAGCAAAAAGATGGTCTTCGTCCACGCCAAGGAGTCCACAGTCATCTCCAACCTGCGCCACTTCACCAGCTACCAGATCGAGATCCATGCCTGCAACCACCCGACGGACCAGACCCGCTGCAGCATGGCGGCGTATGTCAGCGCCCGCACGATGCCCGAGGGTACGAAAGCTCAGGAATATGGCCGCTCGATGATTTTGAGCATTTGAGCAGATTTTTAGCAGGGTTTTCGTGCGTTTTCCCACAACTGGACTGTTTGTTTCAGCTTTTAGCTGGTACTTGTTTGGTAGCTAAAAGCCTAATATTTCTCAGCAGCAAAATGAGGTCAAACAGTGTCTTAAATTTGTTTTGCTTAATTGTTTGTCCTTTTGTTTGTGTGTAATGAAGAATATTTATTTTCTAAAATAAGGTTTAGGTCCAGAGTCTGTATGAAATGGATATTTCAAGAATCGAGTTTCTTAAATATAATATTTTTACTACGACTGATCAATTTTCTCACAGTTACACATAGTTTCTGCTTGTCGGTCTTAACCTCACAAACTGCAGCACACACCAGAATTAACACGACAGGATCAGTAGTGTGGAGTATTTTTTTATTACTTTTGAGCTTTTTGTGCACCTTCTAATGTTTGTCGAGGAGTCTGTAAAGTTCATTTCTGTCAAAGCCCCAAAAGTTGCAATCTGTGCACATGCTTTATAGTCATAAAAATTTCCAAAAAGTATAGGAGATAAACTGAAACTGTGTTATGTTTGGATATAAACCGTGCTTCCTATTAAACAACTTATTGCCGTTATTGTGTATAAATGTTTTCCTTCTGTAACGAAGGACGATCTCGGTGAATAGACGGTAACAAACATCCTCATTTTGTACCAAACCAAAATAAAGGTAGCTGTGTTTATTAAGACACAACTCATTGCTTTTCTGCTCCAATCAAACAAACGTGAACCACTTTGTTCTCTGCAGATAAAGCCGATGATATTAGAGGGCCCATCACTCATGATGTGTCAGAAAGTACGGTGCACATAAGTTGGCAAGAACCTGCAGCCCCTAATGGCATCATCATCCTGTATGAAGTGTACTACAAGAGACTGGGAGACTCTGAGGTAAAACACACGCGCACATCTGTATGTTCACTTTTTATTCATCCATTACTGAAGCATATAATCAGAAGAGGTAAACCCTGGAGCTGCAGATCAATAACGACTGCAGGGTCACGCAGTGTGTCCTCTGATTCACATTAAAAGTGGTGACTTTGTAATCTAACAGATCAGGAGCGACAAATTAAAATGTCGTTAGCCAAACTCCGTGAAGCACAGCAGCTAGAAGAGGTCATGATTATTTGGTGACATTTTAAAACTTGGCTGTTATTTGTTTATTTGTTAGCCTTAATGTCAGTCTCTTTCCCCCCCACTGTGTTTTAGTTGCCATGGAAATTGGTAAAAACAAGCATCTATTTGATCTAATTGAGCTTTCTTTTTATTTAAAGACACTCATGTTTTCTCTACTGTGAAAGGGGAAGAAAAAACTAATTAAAGCACATAAAAGCATACTAT